TAATAAATAAAAAAATTTTAATATTATTTTTATATAAGCACGTAGACCCTCACTAAATGTTATGCTTTATGTGTGTTATTCTTTTATTTATTTATATATATATAATGTTATATAATATATATGTACAAGTTTTATAATATCATAGGAAAATTATTAATTTTTGCATTAAATATTTAATCATATACATTTATAAAACAAATTTTTTTTTATTTTAGGAACTTGCTACTATTAATGATTTAGAGGTTATCACCAAAGAACATCAAGGTTTAGTTGAAGTAACAAATGTTGGAACTTGGATCATTCATCGATGTCTTAACTGTTCAATATACACTCATGCTCTACACAAGGAATATGGTGCTGCCTTAGTTCTCATTAATACTAATATGATTGTAAGTAAATGTATTGTTCATAAAATATTTTTATATATCTAGTTGTAAGTCACTTTGTTTTTCCTGATCACAGTAGGACAGATTGTTAACACGATTTACTTCTTTTGACTCTACGTTTACTGAAACTATAGATTATCAAGATGTATAGATAGATGGTCTTTTTTTATCTTTTATCATATTATTTTATGATACATTAATATTGTTAAAGATGCAATATCTGATAAGTAAATGGGACAATTATATCAAGAGAGATTATCTCTTGCCTAAGTTATCTATAATATTATATAATCTTTTATATATTTTTAAAAATAGAAATGTATCTAATTAAATATAACCAAATAAAAATGATTTAATTAAAATTTATATACGAATCTATATTTTATAAATCTATTAGTTTTATTTACTTTACGTAATTCTTATTTCTTTAAATTATTATTGTACATTTGATTTATTATATATTTTTACAGACTTCACCGGAAGAAATAGAACGATTAAGATCTCATATTGATTACAGTGATGTCTTTAGAATAATAATTGATCGAAGTAGTTTAGATGATCTTGATTATTTACAACCACCTAATAAATTTTCTGGTAAGTTTGAAAATGTGCATTTCAATGCATATATAATGATATATATTTTTGAAACTAATAATTATTTTTATTTCGTTTCTATAGTGTCACAATTATTAAGTGCTACTCAAGTAGCATTGGGTTGTCTTCATCAACAACTCGAGGAGGCAGTACAAAGGCAAGCTGTAGATATTGAAGAAAAAATACGTAATTTTACTACAGAACAGTACCAATTGTTAGAGCAGTTCCGTGAGAAGGCACATAATGAATATCGGCTACTGACAAGGTAAAATACTAACATTAAATCTTTCAATTACATAAACATAGAGTTGCTAATACTACATTTGACCATTATTTTAATATTTTAAGTTTATTACTACAAGGTGAAGAATTAAAAAGGCTAACTAATAATACAGAAACTCCACAAAAGACTTCTGATAATACTAAAGGGAATATAACAACTTCAATAACTAGTGAAAAAAATATAAAATCACATAGAACAACGGAAGATGTAGCACATGTTATTCAAACTAATATTAAATATGAACCAACTGTTAAGTCTTCTACTGTACCTATTGTAAGAAATTATTTATGTATTTTTGATGCATACTGTAATCCATATTTATATAAATTTACTAAATAGTTTGCATGATTCTTTGTAGAATAATAATATAGAAAAAAGAACTATCTATGCAACAAAGCAAAGCAGTTTTGACACGGAAGCTTTGTTCCCACTTGAAGGAGTGGAAGATACATCAACTCTTGATCATCTTCGATCTTCGGATGAAGAATCAGACACTGATGGTAACTATTTTAAATAATCTACTTCTTTTTGTTTTCCTTATGTATATTAAAATTTTTACAAATATTTTATTTAATAACTTTTATTTATATCATTATATAAGTAAAACGATTAACAGATTCTGGCCAAGACGAAGGTATCCATATGCATAGAGGTCAAAGAGGTGGACATCCTACATTAGCTAAATCTTTGCCTGTTAGTGTACCAACTTTTTCTGCGTTTATTCGAAAAACAATTCCGGATGATGATGATGATCAGGTATGAAATGAACATCTTATGTTCAAATTTGAATATTAAATAATTAATTGTCTTATATTATATATATTGTATAGCAAATCTTATATTTTGTTATATTATATATATTAAAAAATATATACAATATAATTCATATATATATATATATTAGATCTATCGGAAAGTTCTGTCCATTTTTGAATTGAAAGAAAATAACAAAATTTTCATACATTTAATAATATTTATTGTAGAATATATTTTCCATCGTTACTTATGATTTCTTGCTAACGTGATAGCAACTTTTAAATGCCATTTTTTTAAAATAATTTTTTTTAGAGACGAAAAACTCAACTAGTGCTTGATTTACATCATCTTCAGTTTTGAATTTTTTTTCCTGTAAAAAATTTTTCAACGAGAAAAACAAGTGATAATCGAAGGGTGCAAGGTCTGGGGAGCATGGTTGATGTGACATGGTTTCCCAGCCTAGCTCTGCGATTTTCTGACGAGTCGCCAAAAAAGCATGTCGTCTGGCATTATCATAATCCAGTATGACGTGCTTTCTATTGAACATTGCTGGCCTCTTTTCTTTATTTAAATCATCCATTTGCTTACAGTATTTCTCCAAATTTAGCTTTTCATTAGGTTTCAGAAGCTTATAATGTATTGGTCCTTGAAAGTCCAACCATATACACAACATTCTCTTCTTCAGGTTCAAGCTCGGATTAGAAGTGGAAAGGGTAATCTTTCCGAGCTCGCAATATGCTCATATCCTCACGATGTTGTCGTATGTAATCCATTTTTCATCAGCAGTTATCATCCGGTCAAAGAAAGATTCGTTTTTGTACCGAGTAAGCAGAGATGTGCACATGACGACTTGATCATTCAAATTTTTCTCACTTAACTGATGAGGCACCCATTTGCAATATTTATAGACCAATCCTAGCTTCCGAATATGGTCGGAAATGGTTTGTTGAGTTGAACTTAGCTTCTCTACAATATCCGATGTTGTCAAAAATGAATTTTGCTCTATCATAGCCTTGATAATGTCGTCATCGATCAATGATGGCCGTCCTGAACGTGGCTTATCATTAAGGTCAAAATCACCTGCTTCAAATTTTTAAATCATTTTTTGCACGTTCTATCTGAAACTGCATATAAACCAAAAACTTATACTAAATTTTGGCACGCTTCTGTAGCATTTCTTTCTTTGTTGGAGCTCGTACAAAATACAGTGGCGTAAATGAACTTTTTCGTAGCCTCTCACTGCCCAATGACATGAGAAGATTTTTTTTCAGTTTATTTAGGAGAGTACATGTGTATAAATGCAATGATAACGAGAAATAGTCATATATGAATCAAATAAACATGTTTATATCGATTGAAACTTGAGAAAAAATCGGACAGAACTTTCCGGTAGACCTAATATATATATATATATATATAATAATTATATAATATATAATCGTAAATGTATTTGCAGATGTCAAGGGATCCTCTTGATCCACATAATATTCGAGCTTCTATTAAAGCACTAGCTAAGAGTGTCCATGGTGACACAGTATTTGGAGATTTACCACGTCCACGATTTTCTACTCAGATCTGATTTGAAAAGAATTAAGAAAAAAGAAAAAAAAGGAAAAAAAAGGAAAAAAAGGAAAAAAAGAAAAAAAAGAAAAAAAGAAAAGAAAATCAAAGGAAAAGTAAAGAAAAAAAAAAACAAAAAAAAGTGGTATTACATCGTCACATAAAATTAAAAAAAAACTCATATATGATTTATAATTACATTATACGATATCCACTTAATCTTTGCTTTTTTCAGTGAACGTTATACATAAAATGTGTATAGATTTGAAATATAAAACAATATTAAATATTCAAGATAACATTCTTTGTATATGTATTATAAAAAAAAGAGAAAGACAAAAAAATCGATAATATGGATTTCAGAATATGTTAGATTATTTGAAACATATATTATTATTGCTAAATGATTGAGATTAAAAATGTGGATTAAAAAATGGATCGAAATTTAATAATACTATATTAAAGTAAATATTACAAATATTAACAGAATAATATATGAAGAAGTTAAAGATTTTCGGATTATGATTACATTATTGAGTATTATAATTATGTTGATGAAACTAGACATTTTTCTTTAATGCAGCATATTTTTTTTACAGTAGTTTAAGAAAAAGAAAGAGTATATGGTCAAAGTTGTCTATCTCCAATTGATAAAATGTGAAATAATTTCTATTTGCAATATTTGATCCAGAAGGGAGATTTTTTTTTAACAAAAATATTCTGTGTTTCGTATAACGATATTAGAAAAATTTCTTTTACTAATTAAACAAAGATATTAGAATAAACGATTGAATAAGGCATTTCTCGCATTATATTATATTACAAAAACAAATAAGTAAATTACAAAAGCCGACATCGGCATATATTAGATAATCTAATATAAATTATTTGAATAGAAAGTTTCAACAAAATTATAGATAAATGTTAATATTAATAATTGCTTGTGTAAGATAAAAAAAAATGATCACAAATTATTTTACTGAAATTGCTATATTGTAATAAGTAATTCTAAATACTACATGTGAGTAAATTAATATATAAATTTGGACTGAAATTTTGTAAAAACATAGTGCAGATTTTTTTACACGTATAATGAACTATATAAAATTTTTCTTAAAAAAAAATTAATATTGCTTTTTAGGCTTATATCTCATGTATACATACAGACTGTCTTATAAACAATATTTTTTTACTAATTTTATTATAATTTGAAGTTTGGTAATTGGTTATAAAATTATTAAAGATGTTTTTTGTAATATAAAAAAGAATTCTAATAAGATTTCATTTTGCTGAAACTGTAACTGATAATCAATATATGTATGATCATTAAATATTATAGCTCTATTATTAATTATTATTTAGAATTATATTTTTTTGATTAATAATTTTAATTTGTTATTATTATAATATAGTATATGAAGCATTCACCTGAATAAGAAAGCTTTATTTCTCATGAAGTCTTTTAAGCTTATAACTTATGAAGTATTTCACAAAACGTAATATCTTTCATTAAATTTTATAAACGTATATTATGTGAATCAATGAAAATACTAAATGGAATGTGCACCCATGATGCCTCTTAAATAAATAGTTTGTTTATATTAAACATATGATTTATACCAAATGCAAGGATATTTTGTATTAATGTTATTATTAAATGAAAAACAAATTTAAGATAAGAATAGAACTTTAATCTGAAAAATAGTTTGCAAGCAGGACATACAGAGCATAAAAATTGTTGTCTATGTACAATTACTTTATATTCATTATTATTATCATCAAATGTTTATATTCAAGTCGATGCAATGTGTCATCCTCATAGTAGTATTAGTACTATTGATATAGTTTATATAGATTAAATCCTCTAAAATATTTGAACTATTCAGATTACTTTAATCATTTTTCGAACATGTTGCATAACATTTAATAAGAATTATATGCAATGTTTTATAGTGAACTTTATTATGAATAAGCATATGTAAGTCACTCCAATGACGAATTGTAATTGTATTCATTTATACTGATCTTAATTTATATCAAGGCATTAATAACGGTAAATGTTTACATACGAAATAACTCCTGTAGTGCCTTCAAAAAACCATATTTCATCTTTGTTAAGATAATACTTTTATATTGATAACAGTTAAATACAGTTACACAGGGAGATATAAAATAAACATTTATTATTAACATATTGAAATACGCAATGACACACATTAGATAAGTTAAATAATTATTTGTTTTTCATTAAAAGAAGTGTGCTATCTTTTGTTTTATTAATTTAGTTTACATATGTTGAGGTTTTCTGTTATAAATTTTTAATAAAGTATTATATCTTCTGCATATACAATTGTACAGATGATATTTTGTATCATTACCATGTGATAATAAAAAGTACGAATATTCACAAAAAATGATATTTTTTGACAATTATTTTATTCAATTGCTACATGATTATAGTGTATACTTTGTATTAAATTTTCTGTTTATATAAAAACAAAATCACGAACTGAAATTTTACTAAATAATCAGAAATTAATGATAAATTATAATTGAAAACAATAATACATATCTGAATCAAATATTATTGTCATTTATTTTGTAGAAGGCAAGTAGCAATTTGTAATTATTGCAAAGAATATGTATAGAGGATAGTAAGTACTACCATTGTGAAGACCATGTATACTTATACATCGCTGTCTTTCCTAAAAAATCAATATTACCGTTTTTAATTAGAATTATAACAAAATATGGTAAAAATAAATAAAAATAAAATATGAAATTGCGATAAAATAAACAAAAATAAATTTCATGATTCAATTGAAAAAAGAAAATATACTCATACTCAGTAAATTTAATGAAAACTTATTAATTGTTGTACTATTCCATAGTTATGATTGTATAATACATAAAATTTATGAATGGTATATAAGTATTAATATATAATATTAAATCCATATGAATTATTAGACTAATATTTTATAGGAAATAACTTTAATAAAAAAGTATAAAAATATTAATTATGAATAATGAAAAATGATGATTAAAAGTATAGTGCACATTTACTAACAATTAGTAATAATTCAGAATAACTGATATAGCATTCATCACATAATTTCCTAAATTTAAATCTAAATAACTACAGACAATGGCAGTTGTACTATTAAAGATAATACTTGTAGTATATATATTTTAAAAATGTTATTATTAAAAAATTAATAAAAATTTACTTTTTCGTTGCAAGTTCCATTTGCGCATCAGCTACAGATTTCATGGAATCTTGAACAGAAGACAAATTCGATTTCCATGCAACAAGCAAGTCTCGTAATTGCATCCATTGTGGCCTTCCAAAGGTTCTGTGCATTGTACTTGAAATAAGTACTTTACGACCAGCTTGATCCATACGTGCTCTTACAAGTTTTGTTTTCAACACTAAAATATGAAGTACTATTTCAGTATATAAATAAATATACTTTTTTTTTGGAATATATAAGATTTTTTACAAAATACATTAGAAGACACATTTTAAATATAAAAATGTCGAATATTTCGATAACTTAATAAAAATTAATTATTATTAAGCCAGTACTAATACTTTTAATATTCCCTGCGTGTTTAAAATCCATTTGATTAATTACAAATGAAAATGTTTATATCCGTACAGGGGGGGGGGGAATTAATTATATAAAAATAAATAATCATGATTTATTAAAAATAATGATTACCGTCAATAATAAAATTTTCTACTTCATCCGTATTGATTTGTAATTCTTCTTGAATTGTATCAAATGACATTTCTGGATTTGTCTCAGCCAATTGCATGAATGTTAATAACCTCATTTTTTTCATATTTTGTTCATGATTTAATCCTACATAATATTATAGTGAAAATTTATTAAACATTTCATTTTTAAAAATAGTTTGTTAATATAAATATATATTAATATGAAATGTATATACATACCAAGTTGATGCTCAACAAATTCCTTATGATTTTGATAAAAGTGTAGATATGCTGGTAATTTTTCTTGTACAAATACAAGCAATAAATCATGAATAAGTTCTCCTTCTAAAAACCGCACAGGCTTTAAGGCTAATAATGGATCAAGTAAAAATGTATTTGGATCCGCTAGAGCAGCTAAAATGCAGCGTTGGGCATCTTCTCTTGCTGCAGAAGCATTTTCCGCTGTATATGTTCCAAGAAGTTCTACCATTACAGCGGCTGCTTGCTCTCTGTATAATTTTAAATAACAGATAAAAAAAGTAAATATGATAAATAAATATATAATATTCTTGTATTTTTACTTGTTTTACCCTTGTTTGCAACTTAGAAGTACTTCATGTAGCAAACGTAATAATTTTTGCATTTGTTCATTGGACGGAGGAAACGATGCAAATTGTTGTTTCAATTGATCTATTCCTCCGTAAACAGCTTTTACTTGATCTACATTCCGAGCTATTTGGACTAGATGATAATAGACATGGTATCTCATTGGCGAATCATCAGAAAGAGATTGAAACAATAGCCATAAGCTATAAAATATATAAAATTAATTTAATTTGAATATTTACTTAGACAATTAAACAAATATACTATAATATCTTACGCTTTTAAACACACCAAGCCTAATTTGTAACCGGGTGCTTTAGTAAGCTTTTCACAAAATGCTAATATTAAATTTTCAGCTCTTTCAGTAGGTATCTACAAATATATAATGTAACTAGTATAAATTATTAATTGTCATAAATATTATATTCTCATAAATTGTAATAATACTTACTAAAATCATGATAGAGACAATATCATTTAATACAGTTTCAATTTCATTTTCATTTCCTTCTTTGAAACAAGCTTCACAAACGCCAATGATTTTATGTAAATCATCTTCTATTCCTTTGGGAGATTTCTCTTCGCTGATCTCAGCACCAAGACTTTTAAAATATGCTCGCAACTCTTGTGCCTAATAATGTAAACAACAATGAAATATAACATATGAATTTGTATTGTTGTTGAAATGTTTTATTATTTTATACAAACATATATTAACTGGAAGTTTTATAACCTCTAATTTTACAAACAATATTAAAGATCTTTTCGTCTGTTCAATTGTAATAAAATTAACATGCTTCATATAAATAAATGATCTATTTTTATTTATGTTACATATTTACCTGATCATCTAAAGGTAATTCCATAAAAATCGGTGGAATCTGCATCTTGATGGTCAAGCCCACGTTTTGATGCAAAAAAATTGTGTTTTAGAACTATCTATTATACAGTTATCGAAATTAATCGAAAATAGTCGAATCGAGCATAGACTTTTAGCAGTGTGAGCAATTTTGTTCAGTTTATGGTTGAATAATTTTCTTGTTACTAGATCTTTTTCTAGTTTTTATAGGGTTATTCATTTTCTCCCTAGTATTAGTAACTAATTCCGTGAATAATTGCCAATATGCAATATAGATTAATAGAAAACTTTGGTATATAGATTTTAGCAGCATATATCAGATTTTTAAAAAGTATAGTTTTATTTTTAGTTTTTAATAATATCTATAACATAAATATGATAATATACTAAAATCATATTCATTAAATTCTAAGAGATTTAAAATCATGGGCATAAATGTGATTATGCTTATTTAAATGTAAAAATAATAGTAGACATATCTATAATTCAAATACATTATATGAAATAGAAATTCATTCTATTTATATCCACTCATTTAATTTGAATTTGTTATTTTCATTTTGAAAATGTATTCGATTATTTTTGAATTAAAAAAAAAATTCTTAGTGAATACCACTGTACAAATAAATCACTAAGAATTTGCTATTAAAATAAATATTATTTCACAATTATTTCAGGTGTGAAATGATGCATAGTTAGAATCAAATAACGTCATCCGTTAGTGAAGTTACGACACGTGTTCAATGCGTTGACAATAGAATTATTAGAAAAAGTTGGTCGAATTTTGAATTTTATTTGTGCATTAATTGCATTTTTGCATAAAGGTGATTAGAAATACTAATATAAGTATTTTTATCTTACTTAAACATACAAATATTTATGAGATTTCGGATAAATTGTATTTTGATATCTTGAGTGTTTATATTCTATTTTTTTGTGTTTGCATACAAGGAAAGAACAATTGTGAATTCATGGCGAAAAGAATTCAACCACCTTGGAGTCTTCCAGAAAGGAAGACACCTACTAAACTATATCTATATAATAGTTTAACTCGTGAAAAGGAAGAATTTATTCCTCAATTTGGAAATGGAGTTCTGTGGTATAGTTGTGGTCCAACAGTTTACGATGCCTCACATATGGGTCATGCCAGGTATTAATATAATGAATAAATTGATCAAAGTAATATAATCATGATGTACTTATTAATTGTATTTGTGTTATTCTTATAGATCATACATATCCTTTGATATCTTACGGAGAGTATTGTCAAATTATTTTGGATATGATGTCTTGTACGTAATGAATATAACTGATATAGATGACAAAATTATCAAACGAGCCAGACAAAATTATTTATTTCAAAATTATGTTAAAGAAAATTATAGCTTAGATAAAATATTAGATCATACTAAAATAGTAATGTCCAATTTTGAAAACATAGTAAAAATAACAACTGATCCCGATAAAAAATGTATGATGGAAAAGATGTTGAGTCGAGTCGAAAAAGCTATAGAAAATTTGGAAAGAGCAGTCAGAAGTAAAGATGAAAATAAAATTATAAAATGCCAAGAGGTATGTAGCATAAAGTTATTTTTCTACCTCATTTAACTTTGATATTTATAAACAACTGAAACATGTAATTTTATAGATATTATTGGAGGAAGCACGAGATCCTTTAGCCAATTGGTTAGATGATCAAAAAGGAGATACTGTTGAGGAACATTCAATATTTACCAAATTGTCGCAACATTGGGAATCGGAATTTCACAAAGATATGGATGCTTTAAATGTGAGATATTATTAATAATGTATAATATTACATTTATATGTATATGAGTATTTAAATATTTTTATTTCTATAAATAGGTATTGAGGCCTAATGTCTTAACAAGAGTTAGTGAATATGTCCCAGAGATTATTGAATTTATTCTTAAAATTATAGATAATGGTTTTGCTTATGAAAGCAATGGATCTGTTTATTTTGATGTAGGAAAATTTGATAAAAAAGATAAGCATTACTATGCGAAATTGGTTCCTGAAGCATATGGTGATACATCAAGTTTAGAAGAAGGAGAAGGTATTAATATTTTATAGTCATATAATAATGATTTGATAAATTTATTAAACAGTCATGTAATATAATTATTAATTATATTTTTAATAGGTGATTTAAGCACATCGGTTGAAACATTGTCAGAAAAGAGATCGGTAACAGATTTTGCTCTTTGGAAGCGTTCTAAGGCAGGTGAACCTTGGTGGTGTAGTCCTTGGGGTAAAGGTAGACCAGGTTGGCATATAGAGTGTTCTGTAATGGCATCAGCAATTTGTGGTGATAGTTTAGATATTCATACTGGAGGCGTAGATCTTAAATTTCCTCATCATGACAATGAGCTTGCTCAAGCTGAAGCACATTTTAATAACTCGAATTGGGTTAGATATTTTCTTCATTCTGGTCACTTAACAATTGCTGGTTGTAAAATGTCTAAATCATTAAAGAATTTTATTACTATACAAGATGCATTAAAAAAACATTCAGCGAGACAGTTAAGACTTGCATTTCTTCTTCACTCATGGAAGGATACTCTAGACTATAGTGAAAATACTATGAATATGGCTATTCAATACGAAAAGTTCCTCAACGTAAGAATTATTTAATATAGTTTATATAGTATCTTATAAGGTGCTATTTTAAGAAACGTTAATTATGTAATTGTATTTATTGTAGGAATTCTTCTTAAATGTAAAATGCAGAATTAGATGCTCAAGTAATACAGGTAATATAAATCTTTTTAGTAAATGGACTGATGCTGAAATAGATCTTAACTCAAAGTTTTCTGCTTCGAAGGATTCCGTTCACAATTCATTATGTGGTAAGTCTTATACATAGTTTAAAAATATTGTTAAATATAATATTAAAGTATCTTTATATGTATTATGTTACATGTCATATATTTATGACACATGCTTGTTTGCTTACAGACAATATTGATACAAAAAGTGCTTTAGACGCAATTAGAGATATTGTAGCACATTGCAATATTTATATGAAGCAAAATAAACATCCAAATACTCTATTACTCAGAGATATTGCAGTTTACATTACAAAAATATTCACTATTTTTGGTGCTATAAATTCATCTCATGATGGCATTGGTTTTCCAATTGATAATGAGACAACGAAAACAAATGTATGTTAAAGTGAATATATGTATTTATGATTATAATTGATTACAAAAAACTATTTATTATATTTATGATATTGTTTAGGTGGAAGAAATCGTTATGCCGTATCTTGAAATTCTTTCTGATTTTCGAGAAAAAGTAAGGGATCATGCAAAACTTATAAAAGCAGATAGTATTCTTCGTGAATGTGATAAGTTGAGAGATGATATTTTGCCAACTGTCGGTGTTCGTTTAGAAGATGATAGCGAAGATGGTTGCCAAGTAAAATTAGTAAACAAAGATGAACTTTTAAAAGAGAAAGAAGCTAAAAGAAAAGCAGAATTGGAGAAAATTTTAGAAAAGGAAAAAAGAAAAAGTGAAGCAGCTGCTGCAGCTGCTGCGAAAGAAGCGCAAAAGAGAATATCACCAATGGAAATGTTTAAATTAGAGAAGGACAAGTATTCTCAATTTGATGAAAAAGTGTGTTAATTAGATGCAGTTAGTTTTAATTACATATTCGTTTATTTAATCAATAATACAATATTATTCCAATTTATAGGGATTACCGACGCACGATGCATGTGGTAAAGAGATCAGTAAAGGACAATTGAAAAAGTTACAAAAACTACAGCAAGCTCAAGAAAAAAAATACAACGATTACTTAATGTCTCAACAGAATTGTATTAAGTAATCTTGTTGCCATTAATGTATTTGCATGCTTTTTTCTTTTTTCATAAAATTGTTAACAGGAAAAGACTATTAAAAAGTGCGAACAATAGGTTTTTTACTCTAATTACGAGTATACTAGTTTTTAACAAGAGTATTGGTTTTTTTAAATAATTTTGCAGCGTTAATATGTATGGCATACGGTATTGATATGCAATCAATTATATTAAGCTTTGTTATAAAAGCTACTTCTACTAGAAAACATGAAAGTTAAAATACAGCATTAAGTTTCAAACATTCATATTTATTAATATTATTTCTCTAAGAGAATATTTATTTATATTGCAATTTCTTTCATTTAAGTAAAAAAACATATGTATTAGATCATTTTAATAATTTGCATTTGTATGTAATACTGTAAGAGTTGCATTTATATTAATATTCAATTTAATTTATTTTAACAATAACAAATAAAGTGTAATTATTTAATTTTTACATTTTTCTATAAGATAAATAAATCTTGACCAGTTTTAATAATGTGTTTTTTGATACAGTTACATATTTAATATTTACATAATTAATCATTAAGTATTATTTTATAAAACTCGTTGAATATGAATTCACGAATATCTTAAATAATCATGTGAAACTATTGACATTTGGATAATAAATTTAAATATAAAAATTAAATATAAAAAAATTAATTTAAATATATGCTTTTATCGAAAACATTCGAAAAACTTTACAGTAACCACTGTATATCATCAAATTCGATTAATCCACGATCATGAGCTTTATCTTTTACCGAGTCCCAATCGTGCATAAGCCTTCCTGAACAAAATAAACGTCAACCTGTTTCCATTTTACCGGATGAATTTGACATGGCGTGTCGCCCATTATTAGAACATAATACCCCTTTCACAAATGGTCGGGTACGAGCCGACAGTGACAGCCTTATAAATGCAAAAGTGATATAATGCCAGACTCATGGAGAGGCAGACCTGATATATGTTTTCTTCCATTCAACGAATGCTAGAAATGTGAAACGGACGAGCACAGCTCAACCCATCACCATCGCTTTTCTAACTTTCTGTAAAATGTCTACGGCGTGATAATAATGCGTTCGCTCCCAAAAACTCCCCGGAATAATCTGAAATTGCACATGGTATTTACTATAGAGTTTTCATTATAAGATAAAGAGTCAACAGTACGTCAAACCTTTCAACAAATTTATGGGTTATATAGATTATAATTTAGCAAAATATACCCATATATATATAGGTATACAATATATATAGGTATTTAGATGCATATAATTTAATAAGTTTTTTTAGAAAGTTAGGAATATATTTCATTTTATCATTTATATATAAATGAATATGGTATATAACAATGTGTCATTTTTATAAATATTCTACTAAATTAATTTATTAAATTAATTTTTAATTTTCGGTAACGTAATATGTGCGTCAAGAGAGATATTAATTTACATTTTTATATTTCTCTTTTGTATGCCGTTTGTTAGAAAAAGACCCTCGCTCGAGAATTGAGAGCAATTTTAATTTAATATATGTAATATATTTCAACATAAAATGAAGATAGCTAATTAGAAAGAAAACATAGCAATATTTCGGAAGAGTATATACTTTATTAATAATTTTACAGTATTTTTATATATTTATTTTCAAAATTACGAAATCGTTTGATTTCATGATCTCTCTATGAATCATATAACAATTTTATCTAATTTTTTTTATACACGGTAGATACATTTCCTTGAAATACTGCGTAAAAAATGAATTAGGTGTATATTGATTTCCTATCAATCATTTTATCTTCTTATTTTAAAAATTTTTTCAAATTTAATCTTTTCGCTACATCAGTCAGTACGCTGTTGCAATATAGACAGTTAAAATGCGAGTATACACTTCATTGCGGACCGACCGCATACGTTATCACAGACCAAGCGTATACCTTACTGCTGACAGAGTGTAACATTTGATACTTTGTCGCGTCATGTAAATTATTGACCATATAAATTATTCCAATTGTATCGAATTAATATAACCAAAGCTGTGAACTCTGGCACTAGTTTTAAAATGTTTTCCAAGATCATCCCAAAATCAGATAACTATCATAACGATATCTTTGATACCTCGTTTAAAAGACTTTTTTATTGTATTTTTAATACTCGAAGAAATAATCGTGTATGTGAATTAAAATAAGGAAATACTGTTTAATTTTAAACAGAGGAGAATAAATAATTCTTTAAAAGATAAATTATATTTTATAGATAAAAGCGTATACAAAAATAAGATATTTTTACCGTCATTACGAATCTTTCTTTTTAAAGTATCATATGAGAGTCAACGTTCTATACAAAAGATTTTTTGCGATTATCTGAAGAATATAAGGGCAAAAAAAGAAATGTTAGAAATATAAAAAATTGGATAATTAACAATGAAATTTTTGAAAGTTTGAATTATCCAGTTATGATATTGGATTTTTCCATTTTTTAACCTGTATGATATATTATATTGATTAGATTTGTAAATAACAATGATGGTTCTTAGACTATTTTTTTTAAACACACATAGAAATAAATGGAGAATAGCAAGCGTCGGCATATTCAAGTCATTTTTTAATTTTAAGTGATATTCCTTGTTTTATCCTTTTACGAAAAAAATTGAAAAACTCGAGTAGTCAATGTCTCTCATTCTTTTTCTCTCTACTTCACTTTTTTTGCCATTACTGACGAGAGAAAAAATGAGTGCACGTTACTAAGGAAGAAAAAAAATTGTAAGTTGACGTTAACAATGTGTGACGGTTGGTGCAAAAAATATACTCTCGAATATAAATTCAAGAGAGATGAAAAAGCAAACAGACTTCCTACCCGCGTTTTCTCTCCCTCTACTACTATTCAACTATATTTGATGTTAACGTCGCGCGTCCAGCGAGAAGTGGTGTGAATGAGTACGTAAATTTTTTCGAGAAAAACGTTCGATTCCAGGAGGCAGAACTCTCGAAACGCGTCGATACTTGATTGACGTTTGAATGTTCTCTCGTATGCATATAAAGTTCACCCTCTTTCCATCGAGTCTTTGCTCGCTCTACTGCCCCGCTTTTATTCGGGAGACTCCATGTTCGATAACTGTTGTAATTTAACGAGCGTATTTCTTTCTTGCCTTACCGCGAAATCGAGAATGCGCGTGAACATGAGAATCGTACTTTTTCTTTACTTTTTTCTACATTGTTTTTTTTCTCTTCCAATTTTATGCACTTTACTTCTCACCTTCGTTTTACGTCAGGTCGATCAGGAACCTTTTCGAAGGTTCAAGTTCCTACTTGAACGAAATATATGAAACGAATAAAAAAGAAAATAATATGAAAAAGAAATGATGCAAAAGAAAGTAAACGAAATCATCGAATCACTTCCTACGTGAATGCCAACGGTAGAACATAACCGTTAAAAAATTAGAATAGTAGCTTAGAGTCTATAATTTCGTGGACCTTATATTTCTTTTTTCTTTGTCAACTTTTATTTCCTATTATCAAAAAATTTAGGGTGTTAAAGAATCAGACATTAGTCGTAGTCGTGTGCAAAATTCGTTGAATCGATCAATGACTTTTGTTTAAACTATAGTTTAAACAAATCGTTCGTTTTTAAATGGTAAATATATCTTTAACGTTCGAAAAAAATATATAGAAATCCATATACATAGAAATAATCGAATTTAATAAAAATATCATAAAGGTAGTCCACAGAATGAAGTGATTATAAATTGATCGGATAGAAATGCGATAATTCGTATCGATCACAAAAAAATTCGCGTGGCTGGCCCAATGGTAACGGGTAAGACATAAATAATGTATTGTTATTTCCGATTCAAGGGTGCTCATCCCTATGTCTGTTTTGCGGCATTGGATACATACGTGCGTATGTATGTACGAGGGGTGACCAGCAGGGAGGCGGTAAAGCCCACCTTTATAACTCTATCGACGATTTTTGGTTACCCTCTTTCAGTTTTTCGATTTATGTTGTGCTTTCTGCTACACTTCCTCTGATGATTTATCTTTCTACCGCGAGAAAGGAACTTTTCTAACTTGTAATATTTTTATGAGCGTTAACTATTAATTTGTAACAAAAAATAGAATATCTATGAAAAGGTTTTACAAATATTTGTCGTTTTTAGAATAGAAATAAATATTTAAGAAAATATATTTTACCCTTACTATCGTATTCCAAATAGTCGAATATGTTTTCATTGTAACCTTGATTATTATTAGCCACCACAAGCCTTTTCTTCGTATGCAAATTCAGAAAGAGAAAGCAGTCACGATATCTTATACAAATAAGCAGTGTACTATTACCGAAGTGGGAGTTAGAGTTTGTATATAAACGTATAAAAAGCCGCAATCGCAACGGGCTTTCAACCATGTATGTTTTTTCGTCTGATGCGGGGTGGCAGTCGATAAAAAAAAACCCTTTGGTACCCATACGTCTGAGTCGCGTAATCGTGTAATCGTGCCCTTTTATGCTAATAGGCAACCCTTCCGCGTTTAACCAGCTGCGCTGGATCTATTGTCTCGACAAATTTTTTTTCCACTACTTTTTTTTTCTCCAAAGTGTTTCGATCGTCGCGCACTAAACTAAATGACGCGTTTCGATCCACGTGCCTTATAGTTTCGTACCGGGCTATTTTTTACCTTCTAAACTACGCTTGAAAAAAAGGGTTGCCACGTGGACGCGCGTGTATACGAGCTTGTGACCTGGGTTGGAAGGGTTTCGAAGGTACAACAAAAAAGAAAAGAAAAAACTTTCTGTAATAATCGAAAATAAGAGTCTTCAGATTGAGGTCACAAATCGGTCTAATGCGTTCCGCTTTTTATAAATCTTATTCAAGTTTTTCTTTTTCTTTTTTAGGTTTTAATGCGATTTAATTAATTATATGTAAATTTAAAAGGAAGTATGTTGTAACGATATTTAACTAAAACGAAGAAACTTTTAACCATACTTAATTCAAATAAAATACAAAATATAAATTGTTAAGGATTTTGAGCTAAATTAGACGAAGTAATCTAATTTATTTTCTAACGAGATTTGTTTTTCTTAAAAACTTAAGAGAC